TATCAAAACAGCAGAAATCAATAATGCTGTTCAAGTTGGCCTTTAATTCTGGCAAAAAGCTCAATCAAGCTAGCAGAAAACAATAAAAGATCCAAGCTTGAGTATATTTTCTTGCATATTCGTGATTATTGTTCTCAGAACACGTTGAGACAACCTAAACCTTAGCTCAAGTTGGGTCATTGACACCCCTGACTCATAATGGAATAGGAGGGGATTCACATAATTATGAATTGATTTTTCTTGAACTCAAAATTGAAAGGTAGATCCACGCTGGAAAATATGGTTTTCACATGTTGGTAATCTTGGTTCCAACTCCCAAAATTCATGCAAAGAAACATAAGGCGAATGCAAAGGTAAAGACTTGTTAATTCTCATTCTGCTCTTTTGAATACACATCATTACCCAATAACCTAGTCCGAATTATATGCACACCCCATAATATAGCAAAAAAATGTCTTCACAACTGAAAACATGACCAAAGCTAGTGAATATCCAATAGCCCAATTGAATTATGAATGGTTACAACTCAAAGGATATGACCACTACTATTGAGCAACAGGCTAAAACCAACTTAAACCCCTTAATCACCCTAAAATCTTTCAACAACATTGTTCCTTGACAACCTTCATTCATTACACCTAGATGCATTCTAATTAACATATTTGCTCAAATTTTCCCAGTGCGTTCACATATTGAGCACATAATTAACATTAAGATTAACCTGAATAAAAACTGGCGATTAAGATTGGTAACTTCGATGCGATCCATGTCAATGACGTCGAGGTTTTGGAAACCGGACAAAGCCAAGTCTTTCAACAATTCGCATCCGAGCCCACCTGCGCCTACTACCAAAACTTTCACATACTCCTTTATGTCATCTCTCAACTAAACCCATAAGAAAAACAAATAAAAGCAGTAGTTAGAAAGATTTTGATAGTGATGTATCAATCCATAACGTGTTTGTGAAAAATACGCAACGAAGAGAAAAAAAACTCAGACACTGTTAGAGAGAAAAAGAAATACTTCTGGGCCGGGCTCAAAGTTAGGCACGACAAGGTGGCCAGGCCGGAGGAGGAGCTTGTCGAGGTCTCTTGATCTGCTGGGTGGCGCCGTCGCCATCGTCGCCAGAGAGGGGCGCAACTGATTCGAGGATCGAGGAGTTGTAGAGCTTAAACTTACAATATTTATGGTTGATGAAAAGTGGAAAAAATTGTGGGTTTAC